CAAGGTCTGTGCATTTGGCTGTATTCGCAGATCATTTTATTTTTTAGTTTGTGACAAGGTCTCATTAAGCTGCCCAGGCAGGCCTCAAACTTGGAATTATCTCTGTCAGCCCCTTGAATAGCTAAGGCCACAGGTCTGTGCCACCATGCCTGGTGTAGTTGTTGCCTAATTAGTGTTTACTGTATTTCCATATCTGGTTTGTCTTTGTGTTATTGTGTTACTACATATTGTTTTCTCCTGAGAAGTATGAGGGATTGAGGCCTCAGAAAAAGGCTTCTCAACTACCCTCATCACATTAAAAGTGGAAGGGATACCCATCTCAACAGATGTGTAAATCACCACATAGAAACACAAGAAAAATTTTAAAAGGCAAAATGGCTCTTCTAAAGGTTTGTAACTCCTCAGTAACTGAATCTAATGATATCAAAATGCATGAAATACCAAAGAATTAAAAAGACTTCATTTTAAAAAATGACCAGTAGGACTGGGGATTTAGCTCAGTGGCACTTCGCCTGCCTGGCAAACACAAGGTCCTGAGTTCGATTCCCAGTACCCAAAAAAAAAATGACCAGTAATTTCAAAATGATATAAACACCCGAATGATTTAAGGAATACAATGCAGGATATCAAAGAAATAAAGAAAAGAGAGTTTGAAAACTAATATATCTTGAAAATGAAAAGCTCAATATATCCAAAAAAAAAAAACCCACCTCAGTGGAAGAGATTGAGTCAAGCAGAAGGCAGAATTTTAGGGCTTAAAAGATCAATGAATTACTATATTCAGAGTGTAATTGAAAAAAAAAGAAATTATGAACAATCTTGGATGTAGTGAAAAGACCACACTGACTTTTCAATTTATAAGAAGTCACCAAGGTATGGACTAAAGGCACAGAAAATCTGTTCAGTGGAATAATAGAATTTCTCAAATGTTGAGAAAGATGAACATCCAGGAACAGAAGGTACCTAGAACTCCAAACAGGTATGACGGGAAAAGAACTTTCCCCTGTCATGTTACAGTTGAACGGAAGAGTGCAGAATAAGTAATAAAGATTGAAAGCTGCAAGGTACAAACTCCAAGTCCCTGAAAATGGCTAACCAATCAAGATAACTACAGATTTTTCAGAAGAAACTCTAAAGACCAGTAGAAAAGGAGAGAAATGAAAAACTGGAAGGTTCAAACTCGAGTAGCTTACTTATAGACTGTATTCACATGGGGTCTTTGAGAAGACTTGTTCTGATTGGATTTGCAAATCAGAACTCTAGGCCTTAGTTCTTGCATTTGCGAGTCAGGTGCAGTGTCACTGAGCTAAATCCCCAGCCCTAGAAATTTTTTTTAAGTGCATAGTAATAGTAAATAATAAAGGGGATTATTTTGGGAAGTCGAAATTTCAGTCTCATTACCACCCTCTGCCTTTCCTTCCTGCAGCTTGTCCTCTTCCTTATCTCCAGAAGTTTACCTCCTGATTTCCTGTCCTCTCCTAATTATTGATTTATTAATTTATGTATATTTTAGGTATCTCATGTAGGAGAAAACAGGTGATATTTAACTTTCTGAATCTGGCTGATTTTGTTTAACATACCAGTTTCTAGTTCCATCCATTTTCCTGCAAGTAGCATGATACTGTTCTTTATGGCTGAATAATATTTCATTGTGTGTATATATACCATGTTTTCTTTATCCATTCAACTGTTGATAGGCATCTAGGCTGTTTCTCCAGCTTAGCTGTTATGAATTTCACTGATGTAAATATGGTTATGGATGTATGAGTTTAGTACATAGTCCTTAATTTTTTCAGGAGTATGCCCAAGAATGGTTTAGCTGAGTCTGGGTCAATTTTTTTTTTTTTACTGGGGATCGAACTCGGGACCTTGTGCTTTTGAGGCAGGCAGCAGAACCACTGAGCTAAATCCCTGGCCCTGAGTGAATTGTATTTTGTTGTTTAGTCTTTTGAGGAATTTCCATACTGCTTTCCATACTGTTGTACTAGTTTATATTCTCACCAACAGTGTGAAAGGGTTCTTTTTGTTTCAGTTTGATTAATTTGCAAGCTTATGTTTATTGTTTTCTTCTTCCTACTGGTTTTGGGTTCTTGGTTTTCTAGTCCTTGAGGATGCATTTGGGCTTGTTCTGTCTTTCTAATGTAGGCATTCGTAACTATAAACTTTCCTCTTAGAATTGGCTTTCATTGTGTCCCACAGAGTCTGGTATGTAGTGCCTCAAACACGGTGGTACATTGGTACACAGTTGCTTCTGAGAGGTGCAGTGAGGACCAACACTGATGAGTACCAAATTGTTTTGCCTGGAAGAGCTAGTGAGTCAGGCAGCAATTGACACTGACAAGTTCTAGGTTTTGTAAGTACCAAACAGTTGAGTACCAGGACAAAATTTTTGTGTCAAAATACATTGAGTACCAAATTTGATGGGTGTCAAAGAATTCAAGTAACAAGGTATGACTGTCATTTGATTCTAGGAAATTTTAATTTCTCCCTTGATATCTTCAGTGGCCCCTTGATTTTAGAATATGTTATTCAATTTTCTGTGCTTTGTGTAGTTTCTGTGGTTTCTTTTGCTGATTTCTAGTTTCATTCCATTTTGATGTGATAGGTTGCAAGAGATTATTTTCACTTTTGCTATACATTGAGAGTTGTTTCATCACCTAGAATGTGGTATGTTTTGGAGAAAGTCCATGGTATCTTGGAAGAGTGTATTCTGATAATGTTGAATGAAACATTCTGTAGACTTAAAATTGTGTGTTTTATTTGGCTTACTGAGGTTTTCATTTCTAGAATTTCTGCTTGGTTCTTTTCCACATTTTCTGCAGCTTTACTGATACCATCTTTCACATCTTGCTGTCTCCTTTAGTTCAACCAGCTGATTATTTGTAACTTATTTGAACTCATTCATCATTCTGATAATTGATACATCTACCTGTTTGTCTTTTCTTTGATCTCTCATTTTAACTATCAGTTTTTGAAATTCTTTGTCTCTAATTTGATCCACTTCATTATCTGTGGGATCATCTTTGGGACTGATTGGTTGATTGAGACAGGGTTTCACTATGTAGTCTAGGCTGGGCTCAAATTTATGGTGATCCTTCTGCCTCACCCTCCCAAGTACTGAGCTTATAGGTGTGTGCCACTATACCTGGCTAGAATTTGTGTACTATATTTTTGGAGGCATCTTGTTACCTTGTTTTTTCATTTTAGTTGTGCTTCTTTATTGAGATTTGTAGAACAGTTGGATAGATTGTCTCTCTACTCTTGTGTGGGGTTCTTTTTGTAAGTGTTTTTCTCTTTGTGTGTTTGCATTGTGGGTACATCTCTTTGTGTTTGTACTCAGTCTGTTCTGTGTGTTAGGTCCAGCCCCTAGAACTCCTTTGAAAGTAGAGAGCAACTACCAGTAACATAAATTCTTGGGAAGCTAACCATGGATTATCTAATATTTAAGAACTTGACAGAAAGTCTGTAGTATTTAACCGAGGAAGAAACACAGTATAGTAATTCCTTATAGCAGGTAGATCAGATTAAGTATTGATGATATTGAGAGTGTTTCAGAGAGTGCATAGGTAAAGGAGTAGAAGAAATATGGGAGGGGGGACAAAAAGTAGAGAATAAAAAAATTATACTAAAAAAGGAGACTAGACAGAACGTGGTATGTGGAGGGTAGGAAAGAGTAGAGAAAGGAAGGGAATATAAATGAGCTGTGAGACAGCAGAAAGTGATTTGTATCAAATTCATTTAACAGTAAAAGCAATTTATATATTCCTAGTGAGGAACTGTTTGCATGGGATAATATGATAAAACAAGGCGGGGTATTTTGGAGTTAAAGTGGAAAACCAATACAGCCTTACTCACATATACCTACATAAAGACTAGCCATTTTCTCACAAACTACTGATAAAGAGTAAAAAGGCAAAATGTAAAAGAGGGAGACAGTAAAAGGGCATTTGTCCTGTTTTGTTGACTGGGGTGATCATCCCTCTGCCATTTTTTCTGCTGCTGTCTTTAGTCTGCTGTGATCAGGGCCCAGTGTTCTCAGGGTCAGTGGTAGGGGATTTTCCCTGCTCCCCCAAGTGAGTCTCAGCCATAGTTCTCAGCCAACCTTAACCTTGCAGGATTTCCACCCCATCCTTGTCTCTCTGTTTCTGTGATTTCACTGGTGTCCATAGTTAAGGAGGAGATTTTTTTCAGCTATATTGTTTATGTGCACCTCCATTGGCTTTGGGTCCCAGCTGTTCCGAATCTCTGAATTCTGTCATTTGTTTCTCCCCATGCCCAATGCCAATGAAGCAGAAGCCCAAGCCAAAATGGGCTTCATTGTTCAGTGCTTCTAGTCCTGACTCAGTCCCCTGAGGATGGCATAGTCATTGGACCTGCTTTGGAAACAGAGCCCATCAGTTGGGAAGCACTTTACTATTCTTATCACAGATTCTGGGCTGTTTGCTAGTGGAGAGACTATGTAGTTGAGTGGCCAGCTGTGACCAACCTCTTGGCTTCCTTCCCAGAGTGATTTTGTGTTTCAGAGATGCTTGGTTTCTGGCCATGTCCTAGGAGCTGAGCCCTTAGCAGGAGTGCACTTTCTTATTCTCACTACGGACTTTGGGCCATGTCCTGATTGGGGAGCCACGTAGCTTGGCTATCTCTGGGGACAGTGGCATCGAGGGAATTCAGTTTGGCACAGCTGCTGCCATCCCCTTGGCTCTTCCCTCAAAAGTTTTGTGTGATTCACACGGTGGTGCAGTGCCCAGTTTGGAGACTGATTTGCTTCTTATTCTGGCTTTCTCTTTTCCTGTACATATTCCATCTGTTCACTATCCAGTGGAAGTTGTCACATAGGCGTAAACTGACTGACCTTGTTGGCATCTCAGAGCTATCTATGACTGCCACTTCTTGATAACTGCCACAGTGCTCCCTGGTCACATTTTCTTGGGGTGGAGATGTCTTTCTGCTGAGGTTCTCATATACTTTGGCACAAATTTTACATTGTTTATCATTAACAGGACACTGCAGTACCAAACCTGCTGTGATCTTCAAGTTGGAACAAGGATCTGGGCCATGCATGGTAGAAGAAGCCCCAAGCCGGTGCTTCCCAGGTCAGTTGATGTATACTGGGCAGGGAGATCAGGATGATGAACGCTCATCAGATATTAGCCATGAAGAGCTGTTTTCACTATTTTTCCTCATGTACCAACAGCTGGTCTCATTCTTTGTAGACCTGCTTTCCATAGCTTAGAAGAGGGCTCTCACATATAAATCCATCTTTTTTTTTTTTGTACGGGGATTGAACTCAGGACCTTGCACTTATGAGGCAGGCGGTGGCACCACTGAGCTAAATCCCTGTCCCCCATCTTCTTTTTTTGTTGTTCATATATATTTTGTTACATTTACCAAAAGGCTAATTCTTATGTGAATATCACACATTTTTCTTAGATTCTTTCTCTAAATTCTTGGATCTTCCATGTTCATATCCTGATTTTTCTCCCCTCAGCCATTTGTATATATGTTTTTTCAACATTTCCTTTTTTTTTTAAACCAGGGATCGAACTCAGGACCTTGCACTTGCAAGTCAGGTGGCAGCACCACTGAGCTAAATCCCCGGCCCAACATTTGCTGTTTGATTACCTCATAGACACTGATCTTTTTAAATTGTGAGGATTAATACAATTCATTGCAAATGCATTTTATTGAAAAATAATATTGAATTGGGCCAGGGATTTAGCTCAGTGGCACTGCGCCTGCCTCGCAATTGCAAGGTCCTGAATTTGATCCCTGGTACCGAAAAAAAAGAAGATAATATTGAACCAAATACGTAGTGTTTGATAGTTACATGAAAGCCACAAAGAATGTTGTATTAGGATGAGATAAAGAATAGAATGTGGGGGCCAGGTATTTAGCTCAGTGACACCACACCTGCCTCGAATGTGCAAGGACCTCTTTGATCCCTGGTACCAATAAAAAAAAAGTAGAATATGCCATTTTATTTTAGAAACGGTGTCTAATTTGTAACCTGCCTTTACAAAAATGTTATAATAAAAATTATTAGAAAATGAACTATTGTTACTTAAATATATTAACTATATTACATATTTTATGTGGTCCAGGACAGTTTCCTTTTTCCTAAAAATTGTGGTATGGGGGGAAGTGAACCACAGGTTGGACAAATCTGGAAAGGAAAAGCAGTTTTTAAGATGGCTTTTCATTTTAATTTTCAGATGTCCACTTTCTAAATATGGCATACACTCCAAAAGTGGATATAAAATCTAGAGTCGTAAATGATCAGGAGTATAAAGGAGATACAAATTGGGAAATCAGTTTTGCCAGTATTTAAATCATAGTTATTCAGGAAGTCACTAGGGAATTAGAAAATGAGAAAGGAATTCCAGTTTTGCCAGCCATAGTGATGCTATAATCCCAGGACTTGGGAGGCTGAGGCAGGAGGATCACCGAGAGTTTGAGGCCATCCTGGGCTACACAGTGAGCTCAAGGGAAGCCTGCACTACAAAGTACCCTGTCTTCCCCCCAAAAATGAATTCCAGTAACAAGCCTTGTATATGACATCAGAATTTATGAAAGTGAGGAGTACCTAGCATATTTGCATGGAAAGAGTGGGATCCTGGATTTTGTAGGATAACCGGAAGATCTTTGATAAAAAGGACAAGTGAACTAACAATTTCATGTTGTAGAGCTCTAATTTCAGGAATGAAATTCATAGTTAGCTTTTACACTTTTCTTTGTGAAAGATATTGAGACATGGTAAATTTGCATAAAAACTCCATTTTCTCTCCAAGTAGAAGAAAGTTGGATTTTTAAACACAAACACAATCTGAAGCAGGGAGTTCCCAAGCAGGCATGTATGTGCCAGAACCGTATGTCCAAGAAATATTCAGAAAAATATATTGCATCAGTGGTAAGCACAGTTTGACTGCAGAACCAAATTAATTTAGTCTGACGGGGAGGTAGACTTGGCTTTCTGAAACCATTATGGTCCCGACAATCATAAGTTTAATTAGATTAGGGATTTGGAGGAAGTTTGTCTTCTAATGTGAGAGGAAAGATAATTCACATTTACTGAAAGAAAAGTGAAAACTAAACAAATGTAGGTATAAGTCCTTTTCTTAAATTATATTTCTCCTAAGGTAAGAGGTCAACCAAGACTAAATCCTACAAGTAGTTAATCCAAGAAAATTTTGTCATTACAAATCTGAAAGAGAAGCAAAGTAGGATGATGTTGTACAAACAGTTTTAACAAAAAAGTGTGGAAAAAGTACAGAGAAAAATTGAACATAAAAATCATTGTGGAAACCCACAGTTAGGCATTAGATAAATATTGTAACTATGTATCTCCCCATATTTCAAAGGAATAAAAGCAATATGACATGATTTGACATTATAGCCTTTTAATATAATTTCTTGGATTCGTTAGGTATGAAACCCACACATCACATGAATCACGTTATTTTGAAATCATATATCATTAGGATATGGCAGTTCTTCATCTTTGTTTGAATGGTATAAGAAATACTTATGTTTGTTTCATGGAGATTACTTTTTTTTTTTTTTTTAATTATTTTAGATGTCCAGAAAGTAAACGGTCGTATTCAGACAAACCAGGAAAATCAAGAGAAACATTTTTGGCAAGTTGTAACCACATCAGCTGAGAAGAAGGTTGAATTGGTAAAACCATTTAATGTGAACTCAAACCATATTTCAGTTCTGAATATAAAGAATGGAAACTATTCAGGAGTGAACCCTGAGGAACTTAGCATATGGCAGAATGTGCTTCTCCCTGGTGATCCACATGAGGTGCGAACTGGAGAGGAGCCTGTTGATCTTAATGTAACTGGGAAATCCTTCGGACATCCTGAATACCTTAGTCTGCATAACAAAATTCAAGGTATACAAAAGCATTTTCAGTATTGTGGACAGGAGAATGCCTACAACATGAAAGCAGTATTGACACATAAAAAGATTCATGTGGGAGAGACTTCCAGTAAGTTTAATGAATATGGGAAAGACTTTGATATGTTAGCATTTATTTCCCAAGAGATGACCCAAGCAAGGGAGAATTCAGTTGAATATAATGTCTGTCATAAAGCACTGTATAAAAAGGCTAAACTCAACGGGCAGAAATATTATGAAAGTAGTGATTTAGGAGAACCTTTCTTTAGCAGATTACATGTTACAGAACATCAGAGAACACATGCAGGGGATGAGCCCTATAGATGTAATGAATGTGAGAAATTCTTCTGTCAAAAGACAGAACTAAATATGCATCAGAGAATCCACAGAGAAGCAAAATTATATGAAGATTATGAAGGTAGAAAAAACTTTAACCAGAAGCAAAATCTCAGCAGATTTCTGAAAACTCAAATGGGTGAGAAGCCATATGAATGTTACATGTGTGAAAAATCCTTTTACCGAAAATCACACCTCAATAGGCATCAGAGAATTCACACTGGTGAGAAACCCTATGAATGTAAAGAATGTAGGAAAACTTTCTACCATAAATCATCCCTCATTATACATCAGAGAACTCACACAGGTGAGAAACCTTATGACTGTACAAAATGTGGGAAAGCTTTCTACTGCAAGTCAGACCTTACGATACATCAGAGAACTCACACAGGTGAGAAACCATATGAATGTGAAGAATGTAGGAAAACTTTCTACTCTAAGTCACACCTCACGATACATCAGGGCATTCACACAGGTGGTAAACCATATGTATGTGAACAGTGCGGGAAAACTTTCAATCGTAAGTCTAACCTCACTGTACATAAGAGAACTCATACAGGTGAGAAACCCTATGAATGTAATGTATGTGGAAAATCCTTTTACCGAAAGTCACACCTCAGTACACACCAAGGAACACACAGAGGTGAGAAACCATATGAATGTAAAGAGTGTAACAAAACATTCAATCATAAGGCAGCACTCACTGTACATCAGGGAACTCATACAGGAAACAAACCGTATGCATGTAAAGAGTGTAAGAAAACTTTCCTCCATAAGTCATCTCTCACTGTGCATCAGAGAAGTCACACAGGTAACAAACCTTATGCATGCGAAGAATGTAGGAAAGCTTTCTACTCTAAGTCACATCTCACTGTGCACCAGAGAACTCATACAGGTGAGAAACCCTATGAGTGTCAAGAATGTGAGAAATCCTTTCACCAGAAGTCATACCTCAGCAGGCATCAGTTAACACATGAAACTGAGAAACGATTTGAATGTAAACAGTGTGGGAAAACTTTCTACCATAAGGCATCCCTCATTATACATCAGAGAACTCACACAGGTGAGAAACCATATGAATGTCAGCAATGTGAAAAATCCTTTCACAAGAAGTCAAACCTCACCAGGCATCAGATAACTCATGAAAATGAGAAACAGTTAGAATGTGAAAAATGTGAGAAAACTTTCTCCCATAAATCGTCCTTCGTTGTACATCAGAGGACACACATGGAAGAAATTGTGTGAATATAATAAATGAGAAAACCTTACCAGAAGCCAACCTGACAGAATATCAGAGAATTCTCACAGAGCAGACAACCTAAAAATATAATGGTGTGAGAGTTTTTGTGAAAAGGCACACATTAACAGACATCAAGGAGCTCACACACAGTAGTCCCCTGTAGCAGAGATTGGCTGTGTGTCTTCCAAAATTGTTTTTAATGGGATTCATAGCTTGCCTTTTTTAGCCACTGATAGTGTGTTTTGGACCATATACTGGAACTGTACAGCAGAATACAGATACTTCAAACCTAGCACCCCCCCCCCCCCAATCTGTTAAGTTCTAAATTGTCCCTGGGTTCTTATGCACTTTGGACCTGAAGCAAACCTGGCTGCCCAGGCTGGTCTTAGGAGCCATAGGTCACTGGGTTTAAGATAAACATAATTGATCTGAAAGAGCAGAGCTCTTCCCACCTTTATCTCCCAAATATTCCATGTTTAGTTTACATGAGTGAGAAATACTTTGTTGAACCATTGTGTTTGTTCTGTTTGCATTATAGTGCAAACCCACTATAGCTAATTCACTTTATAAGCTTTCTGAGAGATGTTACTTGTCTTTTGATATTGCAGAATTCACATGGAGAAACCTCTGCCAACACATGTTATTTTCATGTCAGTTTCTGGAAAACAAAGCATTTGTAGAGAAATTGTAGCAAATGGAGAATCGTTTAGTAGACAGGAATATTTCATTGAACACTGAATAAGGCAGATATTCATAAATTTGTTTCATGTGTAAATGCTTCTGACAAACCTTCCAAATTTTGTGTATTGGAAATTAGTCATGAAGGAAGGAAAACTGTCAGTTTCTGTAATATAAATATTTTTCAAATGGAAATGTTAAATATAGTATTGGAAATCATTTAAAAATATTTCACTGTATGCCAATATATATAAATACAAATGGCAGTATTTTCTGTTAAGAGTACATTGGACATTTGTGATTATTGAAGTTGGATTTTGGGCATTGCTGTTGGCATCTAGTGGAGGCCAGACATGCTGTTTACCAGCCTACAATGCACAAAATGTCCCATAATATATTAGTATTTTGTGTTAACATACTTTCCTTGTTGGGTTCCAGAACAACTGTGCAGAGCATATGTATAGTTTTTGTAATCTAATGACTGGGGCTGGGTATGTACTTCATTGGTGGGGTATATGCTTACCATGCATGAGGGCCTGTTTTCAACTCTCAGCATTGACATATCAATATTTTGGCTTATGTTAAAATTTTCTACATTAAGTGCCATTGTAGACCATTTATATTTTGTTTTATATTGTCTCTGGTATTATACTATGATTTCTTTCCTTTTCTCCTAATGTTTATAAATGTGTATGGACACTATAAATATCTTGTAACAGATTTTTTTCTAATGTATAAAGTGAGCAGAAACATTCATATGGAAATATACAAATCAAGCATGTAATTGTTCTCAACTGAAATCTGAGCTAATTTAATCAACAGTGAACATCCTCAATGAAAAGCAGTCTCTGGAAGAACGGTCCCCTTCTTCCTTTTCCACATACTTTTATTAATTAATTTATTTATTATTTTTGGTACCGGGGATTGAACTCTGGTCCTTGTGCTTGTGCAGCAGGCAGCGAAACCACTGAGCTAAATCCCCAGCCCTTTCCACATAGTTTTAAATAGGGCAGCAGCATCAGTGTGAGTGTGTGGATTGAAAGCTGTCTGACTGCTGAGTATATGCATTTCCCTTTCCTGTGAAAAAGTGCTGTGACTACATTGCCAGTAAATTGGCAGCATACAATGACTTTAGAGCCTGACCTCACTGGGCTTCTCTTTCCTTGTGTAGAAAAAGCATAATAGTGGAACCTGTCACAGGGGTATTATGAGTAGTAAATTAGACAAATTGTTTTGGATATTACCTGGAATGTGGTAAACTGCTTTGATGATGGCCATTATCACAATTTACAGATTTACTCTTAAAAATTGGTAGACTGCAACAGAATATTGTTTGGCAACACAACAGCCATCTCACTTTTTGTCAGTGTATTGATTTGGTTTTGTCTCCTGATTCTACAGATATTCACTGTTTTATCATGATTGAGTTTTTAAATAATTACTTGGTACTAGTCTTTCCTTTAGTAGTTGTTTTTGGTTGAGCCCATGGGCCAGTTCTATACATTGACACACTAAGGATTTTTGGCATGCCTGGAAATGTCTCCACAAAGAAAGAGACATGAAATAGGTGGGTCTTCTTTTGCAAGATACTGGTCTTTGTGGACATACCTTCTGATTGCATATTTTGGCTCCATATACTGGCCAGGTGGAAAGCTGTAGAACTGGAGTGAATGATATGTGTGAATTACTACTGAAATCTCCAACTTAGGAGCTTCTGTTTGCAGGGCCATTATAAAGAGTATGAGATTTCTATTTGTCCATAAGCAAAGGCCACTAAACTGTAAAGGTAACATTCATTCACTATCTTAGTTTCTGTGAGTCAGGAGTCCCCTCTGCCACTTCCACTGCTACCCACTAGAGAGAGACAGCTCCACTAGTCCTTGTGTCTTCCCATGGCCATCTCAGAATTGCTAATTGCAAAGTGAAATTTTCAACTATCAGTGTGTACACTGATTTGTAAGGAACAAAACTTCGTTTTGAACATTTTTTATAAAAATAACAGGAAATCTATCTTTTTTCGAGTTAATTATAGAGTAAAAAATTTTTTAGAGACAGAAAAAAATATATACTCTTTTCTTGTTGTTGCTGAAACAAATACCCAACAAGTTAAAGGAGGAAAGTATTATTTCAGCTAACAGTTTGTAGTTTCAGTCCATAGTTGGCTGGCTCCAACTCAGGGCAGCAGAGCTGCAGGAGGCAGGAAGTAGCCTGGCTTCTCTCTTTCCCAAGCTAAAGCTTATTGGTGCCATCCACATCCAGGGTGAGGCTTCCATTATCCACACCAAGAACTATGTTAAACCAGTTTATCACACCCTTAATCCACATTCACACCCCCTATCCGGAAAGCCCCACCTATGAGTGCATGAGGCTTTGGGGGAATCTAGATTCACGCCATAGTATACTGATAGGACAGTCCATCTCAGGGTTTTACAGGAGTTTTAAATACCTACCTTGCAACTCAGCATTGGTCTACAGTTAAAATTAGGTAACTTGGGCTGGGGATTTAGCTCAGTGGTTCCGCTGCCTGCCTTGCAAGCGCAAGGACCCGAGTTCAATCCCCAGTACCAAAAAAAAAAAAAAAAAAAAAGGTAATTTGAAGGAGTAGACACATCTGTAATCATTGTGGGAAATACCTGTATTCATTGATTTTTAAATTGTGAATGATGTCTAGAAAATAGAAACAATAAACGAAGCGGAAACCAGATCGGCATAATAAATGGGCACAGAATCATCAGTTAACTTTAGTGTTAAAGCAGAATGCCCCAAATGTGGACTTTCACAGCCTGGGAAGGATGGGGGAGAGGATGAGGAGAGGGCAACGCGTATGTTCAGGAGTAAAGTTAGAAGTAATTTCTAATGTTCCACAGCACCAGCCAAAGTGGTTGACAGTTGAAATTGTGTATTGGAAAATATCTAGGTGTGAGAGGGTTTTGCATGTTTCCAATAGAAAGAAGTAATAAATGTTTTGAGATCATAGATATTTCACATTGCTCTGATGAGTACACATACACATACTGTACCCCCACAAATATGTATAATTACATGCCAGTAAAATAGTATATATAAATATGAACAACATATAAGCAAAAGGTGTAATAAAATGAATTGTAAGGACAATTATTTTATGTTAATAAGTTATTTAGGTTTCCTAGGAACATGAAGTGTAGGAAATTGTTGGAAATCAGAAGGACAATGAGAGTGGCTTTCTAGAAACAATAATTTGAACGAGTGGTTATCTGCAATATTTTAAAACAGGTTGGTAGTAACACCAGACAATATAAATACGTCAGTGGAAATGAATAGGCAATAGAGAAAATCGGGATGTGTATAAAAATGTTTCTTGCAACACTTGTTATTGATAAGCAGTAGAGAAATAATCACAATTAATTTTAAAAGCAAACCATTATGAAAGTATGTCATATAGTTGATGCAAAATAAATTCCACATACTGTAAGTAGTTTCTGAAGGAAAGTAACTAGAATCAACCCATATCCATTTCCAAAATTTTAGTTTAGAGATACATGTCAAAAGGAAGCAGCGCATGTATTAGGGTTTAGATCGAAATGCTCCCCAGTCGTTTCGTATGTTCAGAGGTGGAGCTTTGGAGAGGTGAGGGGATCAGGATGGCACTCACCTCAATCATGGGTGGTGAGTTTATAGTTGAATAAGACAAACTTCTTTAGATTTTTACTAGTGTTCATGCACCTTTCCACCTTCACGTTGTACAGAAAATATTTAAAAGAGGCAATGACCTGTTAACGTTTTTAGGATGCCTGGCAAGTGAAGTATTTCCTTTTATTAAAAAAAGTATGAAAAGCGTGTGGGGGCATGGGGCAGCCCGTCACCAGCTGCGGTGCTGGGGCGCTGCATGCCTCAGGCGGCCGTCTCTGTGCGGCCCCTGGCGCTGCACCTGGTGCCCAAGGCACGCGGCTCCAGGAACCCCTCCGCTGGGCAGCTGCAGACTCTGACTCCACCGCTGCGGGGTCTGCCGGCCCAGGACACCCAGGAGGAGAAGCCACAACCTCTGCCGCCTAAAGAAAACCCCTGGACCAAAAAGCCATCGCAGCACCTGCCCCCCCTGCTCGCTGCGACGGAGCTGTCACCGACCCCGCCCGACACCCTGGAGGCAGAGCTCAGTGCCCCAAAACCCATAAAAGCAGGAATACTCGGGACAAACCCAACAAGGCTAGCGATTTCAGCAATATGGCTCTTTGGCCAATACCAGGTGAATTAGTGAACACTGGATTTCAGAGTGTCCTAAGCCAAGGATGTAAGAAGCCACAAATTGGAAAAGAAAAAGAAAAGATTGAAAAGAGAAGTAACAGTGAGAGCAAAGAAGACCAGGAAACAAAATTCAATGGTCCTGGTGAAAACGTGAGTGAGGATGAGGCTCAATCAAGAAATCAGCGAAAGAGAACTAATAAGCACAAGTGGGTACCGCTCCACTTAGATGATCTCAGGCCAGACAGCCAAGAAAGACCTGGATCCCGGAATAACTCAAGGTGTCAAGCTGAAGCAAATAAGCACATAATAATAGGAGAAATGATACACGAAGTAGGAGGCGAGATAGAGAAAAAAGATGATGAAGATGAAGTCTCCAGTGTGAGAAGTGAGGGTGGCACTATCCGAGGTTCCTTTAGAGGCCGAGGATGGGGAAGAGGAAATCCTCGACTGAAGTTTGAGTATACATATGGATATGGAGAACACAGTGAAAGGACTGGTCAGCCATCTCAAAGGGAATTTAATGCCAGTATGATGTACTACTATGATGATGGGACAGGCGTACAGGTGTATCCTGTGGAGGAAACATTGCTTAAAGAATATGTTAAATGCCAAATTGAATATTCAGTATACAAAATTTGGAACGAGACTTCTTCAGAGAACGATGGATGAACAAGGTTTCTTGCCTATTTCTCTGCTGGTTTTCACCATGTTCAGGCTCTCACCACAAACCTTAATCTCATCTTAGAGGCACTGAAGGATAGCACAGAAGTTGAAATTGTGGATGAGAAAATGAGGAAAAGGGTAGAAGCACAAAAATGGCCAATCCCAGGCCCTCCACGAATTGTGCCACAAACAGATTTGTCTCAACTGATTGATTGTCCAGAGTTCGTACCAGGCCAAGCATTTTGCTCACAGTCAGTCAGGGTGGTGATCTACTGATGCTCTTGGATGTCATTTGATTGGATATGCAGTGGAACAGGTGACTCACTGAAATGCCATTGTAAATATTGGAACAAATCGTGCTGTGGAAATGAAAGCAACTGGACTGTCTCCTGTACAACAGTGTCTGCTCCCAACCCTCTGTGTTGGAGACTGGGCCAACACTACAATGGAGATAACCACCTTTTCGATGATGATGTGAGACAGACCCGAGGACTGCTGTTATCATAGGAGCTGTCCATTTTTATGTAATTGGCCTGGACTGCATGGGCTACTTTTCTTCATGGTGGGAAAGTTAATTATGATCATTGTGGAAATACTACAAGATTCTTTTGTTTCCAGGTGTATGTACTTATGTCCAGATCAATAAAAAACAGGAAAAGAGAGGACTGAGAAGCATTTCCCAAATTGTTAGGTCTTTTGGTATTTGATTTCAGTATAGCGTATGTTACATAATACACATTGTCATGGTGTTTCATGTGGACTATAGGATTTATTGATATGCACAACTAAGGGCAAAGAAATTTAAGAAATGAACAAGGGAATTTTTTACTTTGCTGTTGGAAATGTATTTTTGATACATCAATATGAGAGACCTGCCCATTGATAAAACATTAATGATGGACAGTCT